GACTAGTGGGCAAGATTAAACTTTTGTAATGTTTTATTTCACGTAGCTTAAAACATTCTTAGAATTTTAAATAGTGATAGATTTTGAAAACGAAACTCTACAACTTCCATAGACCTCTTAGCCATGCTTCATGAAAAACTAGAAATTCTTTTGAAGGTTTATATACTTACTGCCAAATGAAGATAGCAGGTACCATTTCCTCAGTGTTGGTATCCAGGCTTTGTGAAGGACGTAGTTGGAAAGCCATTTAATTAGTGGCTGTAAAGATCTATTGTGAGGAAGAACTGGGATGTAGGCTCCAGGTATAGGGTTGAGCAGATTCACCAGAATTGGGGAGTAGAACTACACTGCTGAGGGGAGGGAGGTCTGCTGAGCCATGTGGGTCACCTCCCTAGTTGGGATTGAACTCATGTCACAGTGGCTGGTGATAGCTTCATAATACTGTCTTTAACACTTGTGCTACCAGGGAGGCCCATGATCTTATTTTCCCTTCCATTAGTATGGCAGTGTCCCCATTATTTGGACCCACTGTTCTGGTATAACTGCTGGATGCCACTGATGGGCACTCTTAACTTTGGCACCAGCTTTTGGTGGGAGTCTTCTACATTGGCCTTTGATCTGAAAGTACATCTCTAGTATCGCCAGTCACTTTTTTCCTTCCCCCACCTTGTATGAGGAGGTTGTTAACTTTACTGAAACTATAGCAGTGAATGTCCCACTTCTATACAGGACTCACCAAGCCATGTCACTTACCTGTTTGTCTCCTTAGAGATTTTTTTTTTGGGGGGGGGGATTCATGTTTCTTCTGCCACTTCACTTCTTATGAAGAGTGATGCTAAGGATAGGACATCTTTTATTTAAGAAGAGCTCATGCGAAGTTGTTGCTTTATTCTGTTTATGTAAGTATGCTTACGGGAGATCATTGTGGGAGATGTGGATTTCTTTTTCTTCTTTTTTAAGATAGATTAATTTACTTATGCATACAAGAACTGGGTCATGGGGGGGGGGGGTAGGAGCTACAGAGGATTCACCTGAGGCAGAGTAGAGAAACCGAACAGGCAGATTAACTGGAATACACTGCTGAGGAGAGCAGCAGATGAGACAGAAGAGTCTGCTGTGCCAAGTGGGTCAGCTCCCTGGAGGGCCCTGAATGGAACTCATATTTTGGGAGCTGGCGGTAGCTTGATAGTACTATCTTTTAACCCTTGTGCCAACAGCGAGGCCCCCAGATGTGGATTTCTCTTGGTAGACAGCTGCCTCAGTACCATTTTTCCCCCCATCTTTGAATGTCTTAGCAAAGGAAATTAAGAATGGACTTTAACTATTACATTTGCTGTATGCAATATACATTCCATGCTGGATTTCTCAATACAAGTGTGTGTGTTCTAGTTTTTTGAATGGTGGTGTTTTTACCATTTTTAAAAAAGATTTATTTATGCATACAGAACTAGGGTACAGGCCAGAGGTACAGGGGTGGTAAGAGTATTCACCAGAGAGGAGAGCAGAACAGGTAATGAGGAGAGCAGCAGGTGAGACAGAAGTCTGCTGCGCCTGCAGGTCAACTGCCTGGCAGGGGATCAAACTCATGCTGTAGTGTCTGCGACGGGGAGGGGCCCTGATTTTATAACCTTACTGCAGAGTTATATAGTGGAGAAAGATAATACCAGTAGTAACTTAAGATTTTTATTTGCGGTAATACTGGTTTATATCACTTTATACGCTAACGAATAGGTTCCACTCCCCACCCACACCGATAGCACACATTTATCAAGTATTATTGGGTCCCTTCCCCACTTTGTTACAGATACTGTACCCCTCCAGTAGCCTCAATTCTGCCGTCATTTCTAGACTGTTTTGACTCTGTATAGTCTACATGAGTAAAAATCATTTGGTATTTATCTTTCTCCTGACATACTACCACTTAGCATAAACCCTCCCATTCCATCCATATTGTCATAAATGGCAGGAGTTAACCTGTTTTTTCAATAGCATTCCATCATGTATACATCAATGTATACATCATATATACATAGCGCATTTTCTTAATTTAATTCAGTGATCTGTCATTTCTATTACTTGCCTGTTTTAAATAGTGCTGACCTGACCATGGCGTGCATGTTTCCTTACAATTGTTTCTGCATTCTTTGGATACATGCCAAGGAATGGAGTTAATGGGTCATATGATATAATTTTTATAAATCTCCACTTTATAATGTCTGGAATAGTATGCTTCCCCACAAGCAGTTCATGAAGGTTCCCTTTTTGCTTACTAACTTTTGTTGTTACTGGTGTGTGTGCTTTTTAATGTGGGCCATCAGTCTCACTGGAGTGAGGAGGATCTCATTGTGGTTTTGATTTGCATTCCCCTGGTAAGTGATTTGAATATTTGTTCATGTGTAATAGGTAATTAGTATGTCTTCTTTGGAGAAGTGTCTATTTAGCTCCTCTGCCCAACTTTTGACCTTTTTTTTTTTGTTCTATGCATTCTCTGCAGATCTTGGATATTGGCTTCCACTTAGGTGCTAATATTTTCTCTCATTCAATTGCATGTCTTTATCTTACTGGATTGCCAGCCTTGGTACTATTGATACTTGGGGTTGAGAGTATCTTGGAGTATAGTATGTACAGTGACTTTATTATTAAAATAAGTCTTTTACACCAGTAGGTGCCAGTAGCACATTACCTCCTAGTTGTGACATCCCAAAATGTCTGAGAGGCAAAATCATTCTCAGCAGTTAGGACCCATTACTTCAGTGTCACTGCTGACTGTGCTGATATAAGTAACTAGTTTACTTTATAATGAAGTTTTTGCAAATAAGAGAACAAATATACACTAGCCAATCCAACAATATTTTCCACTTGTGGTTTTCTAGGTTTATTTCACATACCAGTGTTTACAAATTTAGGATGGTATTGGGAAACTGAGTTGGGATTTTTAGGGGGAGGGGGTGTGAACTGAACTAATTCACTTGATCCTGTGCCGTTTTTTTTTTCCACTACTGCCAGGTTATTGCTGAACACATGCATTTTTATAGCATGTTTCTTCCCTCTCAACTTATTTCCTATTTTTTTCCCCCTAAGAACAAGACCAGATACCTAAAATAACATCTAGATTAAGCCTTGCTATGTTTGTAAGCAAGTGTCATTTCTCCCAATAAGTTTCAAAAGTTAATTGTTATCTTTTTGGTTCCAGGATGTTACTGATTTGAAAATTGAAATACAGTTTTGGCTTCTGTTGAAATGGAACAGTGGTCTAGAAAGTTTGAGAGGACTCACAAACAAAATGAATGTTAATTTTAAGTCATTCCAGAAAATTTTAAAGACAGTTTTATTGATTACTTCAGTCATTTAAGATACGGTCTTAATTTCAACAGTATATAAAGGATTATATGTATGAAGCAGAAATAGATTTTTTTTTACCTTGTGCAATTATCAATGTAGAATTAATGATAATGAAGAACCATCATGACACGTTATTGAACTGTCCTGTAGATTAGAGATGGGTCCTGATAATTGTAGGAAAAGCTGTTAAGAGATTACATGAATCATGACAATCCTTGCTCCTAATACTAGCTAAATGACATGCAATCATATATAAGAAAATGCTGTGTCAGAATTAAAAATGAATATTTAACATGCTTCCCTAGTTGTATTTATTTGGACTAAAAAGCTAGGTTAGAGACCACAACAGTGAGTATAGTCATGTGAGTTTTCTTACAAATCATGTTGTAAGCAGTGCTGTAATTCAAACTTTTGTTCATCTATATTATACTCAGGGAGATTTAGCATAATAATTTCAAGATCCTAGATTTCTGTAATGCTAAAACAGCATCTGCTTTGACTTACCTCTGGTGCTTAAACTACCTGTCCTTTAAGCCTAAAGTAAGTTTTCCTTTCTCACTATCAAAGTTTTAGAGGGCATCTGTACTGCAAATCTGTTTTAGTCTTTCATTAGTAATAGCTAGATATTGTGGATAATGCGCTGCAGCTTCTACATCAGTACTTAACTACTTCAGTGTTGTGGACACAACTTCTTTATTTAAAACCTTATGTAGCCTCCTTACCTCTGACTTCGTGGAACCTTAGGACCTGCTGTGGATTTGGTTTAAGGAACTGTTGTGCTGGGTGTGATAATGTATTCAGACCACCTCTAAAACCAGTAAGGCTAGTATCATTTGTTTTGCGATTTCAAAAGATGGTGGTCTGGTATAAGAGATCCAACTTTCAACTTAACTTCTTGCTGTGCCTTCCTCACTAAGCTTAATATTTTGTGTCTTGGGAACTAGCAGAGCCCAAGGAGGCTGGAGGAATGATCACCCACCTTCTAAATCAGTAGATTTTAACAGAAAATAACATTAGGAAGGTTACATTTCGCACATGAATTCACTCAATAACAGCTTTAAAGTGAGTATGTCAAGTTTTCATTCATCATTTCCCAAAGTCCCCTAGTTGAGGACTAAACCCTGTTACTAAAGGGCTTCTAGGACTATTACTATGCTATTTCATTTCTTTTTTATAACTATTACACAGGTGTGGATTTGATCCCTTATTCCACTTCTATTGAAGTCTATTCCCAAAAGAAAGCTGATCAGCAATCTTGACTAGTTATCAGACAACCAGTTGCCCTACTTCAGTACCAGCAATTGCCACATGTTTGTCACCTGCTTAAAGATCACCAAGACAGTTTTAAATACTCATCCTGTTCTCTTCCCCTAATGCTGTAACAGATTTCTGCCACTCAAATTTGGGAACCATCAGTTTTTGAATAACTCCTCTTTGTTCTTGCAAACCTTTCATCTATATTAAAGGACCAGTGGAATTGGATCCAAGCCAGCATGTCATCTCTAGGATTAGACTGACTAAATTATATATCACCAACCTATGAGGAAGACAGTATGCCATGATAATCTGTAATCTCTATTCTAGTTGTATTCATCCACTCAGTTTTTCTAGATCATATTATGTCTAAAAAGATACTCCTTTGCTATCTTACTCCACAGTGCTGGTCCCAAAGGTGATAACATCTATGAATGGAGATCAACCATTCTAGGGCCTCCAGGATCCGTATATGAGGGTGGTGTGTTCTTCCTTGATATCACTTTTACACCAGAATATCCCTTCAAACCTCCAAAGGTAAGGAACTCTTACTAATTGGTGCTAAAATTGAGACCTGTGAAAAGAATTGAAATGTACAGGAAATACTTTCTTTGGGTTAAGTAACTAAATGGTAGGATTTGAAGTGCCATCAGAAGCACTTAACAGCTCTGAATTTTCCAGCCAGGTGAAAGTTTTCTGAACACTTAAATGGGGTCAGAAAAATCTATGTACTAATAATAAAACATCAAAATCATTATCTCCTACCAAAGCCTTCAGTTTCCTCATCTGTGATAGCCCACCCATCTCTCATAATACTCTTCATTCACACAGGCAGAAGGAAAAACCCTCTTGGGGATGAGGTAGATGCACAAACAACTGCTACCACAAGAAATAATTGAAAAATTTCAGCTAAAACCATTTAGTTTTTACTTTGAAATGATCCATCATCATTGACCAAAATTAGGACACAAAACAATAACCCATCCTCCTGTACCGTACCACTGCTGGTAGCTCACCTGTGGGAACTCTGTTAAAAGTGAATGCTGTCTGTGATTTAGGTAGATAGGGATAGCTACATGATATGATGTAAGAGTTAGAAGAGATTTGTCTCTGCTTTTTTCTAAGAATTTCTTTCACAGGTTTTTGAGTGTGTGATCTTGTTTGCTAAACATTTTAAAGTTCTTTACTATTTCATGTAGCCTTGTAGTACTGATAGCTAACACAAGAGGTCAGCAAAGAAATAGCTATTCTAAGCGATTTTATGATTTCCTTAACATTTCCAACGAATTCAGGAAATAATAATAAAGATTATGTCAGATATTAAATCATTAATAGTGTGAACCTATGTTACTTTAGAGCCACTTGCTGGGAAAGAAAGTTTAGTGAAAAGATTCTTTGTTGCTATTTAAATTTAATGTTTAAATTTTAGGTTACATTTCGCACAAGAATCTACCACTGTAATATTAACAGTCAAGGAGTTATCTGTTTGGACATATTGAAAGACAACTGGAGTCCAGCACTAACCATTTCTAAAGTCCTCCTTTCTATCTGCTCACTTCTTACAGACTGCAATCCTGGTAAGGTTAATTTACTTTGTTTTACTCTTCTTCACCTTAATGGATACATTATGTTAAAGTACATCTTTTATTTTTCTCAACCCAGCAATTTGATTTGTAAACTCTACATCTTCTGACAGGCTTGTGCAATTTACTTGGTGGCATTCAGCAAAAGGACGATGTAGTCTACAGCGTTGTACTGTCTAGTTTTCTTTAACATACTGTGTGGCACACACACAAAAAAACCCCTCCAATTGGGTGGTATTTGTTAGTAGGAAATGGAATGAAGTAATGAGATAAAGGCTTATCACAGATACTTAGTAAAATAGAAGCATACAACTTTCTCTAAAGTAATCTACATCCTTTTCTTCCAGCCGATCCCTTGGTGGGAAGTATTGCCACTCAGTATATGACCAACAGAGCAGAACATGACAGAATGGCCAGACAGTGGACCAAGAGATATGCTACATAAGTTGGGTTTTCACAATTCTTACATTGTCTGTCACAGAGAGAGCTGCTTATGATTTTGAAGGGGTGGGGGAGGGTGGGAGTTGGTAAAGAGTAGGGTATTTCTATAACAGATATTATTCAGTCTTATTTCTTAAGATTTTGTTTTAACTTAAGGTATCTTGCTACAGTAGACAGAATTGGTAATAGCAACCTTAAAAACTGTCATTAGTTCTGCAATATTAGCTGAAATGTACAGAGAAAAAACATTTGGGTTCAGTTGCTTGTAAAAATTTAATTCTATACAGGTTATACACTTTGGCCGTTTATTTGGCCCTCTACAGAGTACACTATTCAAAAATTGGAAATCTTTTTCCTTCTTAGAAGGGAACATTAAGTTTTTAAGAGACTGTTATCTCATATATAAAATGGACTCATACCTATCAGACACCATATAGGAATTGAGTAGTTGTGAATTTTATTTTATATGCCAATTTCTTTGTGGAAAGATTATTATAGAAGTCTGAATCAGGACTTGTGGAAACCTGTAGTAAAATACCTTAAGCTGTTAACTGTAAGGTGTGGAATAGGAGTTATTCAGTGGGTTGGTTTTATGTTGTGGGCTGCTTAAGTCTGCATTTGTTACTGTGCTAATAAACAATATTAAAACAACCACCCAACATTGCTGTCTTCATTACTTTGTTTAAACATTTGTAGTTTTCAGATTTTGTTAACGCTATGGTAGCAAGTACATGGATTCTCTCATGGGCAAAATAAAATTAGTCTAGCCACATTGGACAGCAATTTAGCAATACCCAAATGTACTACACCAGAGAAAAGCACATACATAATCACTAAATGTTTTATGGCAAATATGGATATTAACACAGACTTTAGTTAGAAAAGAACCCACTGCAAGGCCATTTAGAAAATCAACACTATCTGGAAGAGAAAGCAGGCAATGACAACTATTTCTGAGTAACAATTACGAGGTTTATGTTTCTTTTATATGCAGCAGCACTTTGTAGCTTCAATTCGCCAACCTAAAAAGGACTCCATTTAAGATGCTACGGTTCACTAGATGCTTATTCTGTACTATATCACTAAAGTTTTTCTACTTTTTACTTACTGTATATAGTACTGTCAACTTGCTAAAAACAACCCCATTACTCACACTTGGCCAAAAATCTTCAGAGACTCCTGTAGCACAGACACAGGTGTTTAAATTGAAGACTACCTATAATGCATTATGTTTAGAGTATATAGTATGGAAGCTTTACTTTCCCTAGGTGCTTAGTAGTTCACTAAAAAACAAACAATTTGAGTAAAGCTGAATCACAGCTTTTGTTCTATTTAGCAAAATCTTCACAAGTTAGTTATGTACTAGTACCCAAATTGCTGTTCATATCCAGAAAAAGCTGCATTTTTTAAAAAAGTCCACATTTGAGCTAAGACATCTGCATAGCTTCTGGAACAGGTGAGAGAGGGGAAACTACTCAGTAGCTGTATTTGCATACTGCCCAAAATTTATTTCACTGTTTCAAGAGCAACATAAATAACAAAAATAATTTCAGGCCAACTTCTTGATATAACTTAAAGTGCACCTATTTTAGACATTTTAAAGGCAATCACTATTTGGCAAACAATTGTGGCATCAGTCATTTTTAGTTCTCAGAGCTAGAGTTTCCTTTGTTTTTCCTCCCAGGTAAAGGAAAGCTCGATTTGCTCTGAGGCTGGGAAAGTTTGCTGGCTAATAAAGTGAATGGTTCAATCAGAGTTTTCCGATCTGTAACTGTTACCTCCCATAGTCGCACTTTTTCGTTTTTCGCCCACTGCTGTGCCACTTCAGTGTCCACTTGTCTTTGCTCAGAAAGGTCAATTTTGTTTCCTAATACAACAATTGCTACCTGAAAGAAAAATACAATGATCATACTTTGTCACATTAATACTTTGTCAACATCATTTCCTAGGCAAAACTGAAGAAAAAGTTTAACAAACTGCTTCAACTAAATTGACCTCTTCCATAATTTTTTTTAATGCAGGTTCTCTACAAGTTGCTAAGAATAAAAGTGATGTATCTGTACCCACACAACAAATACTGTGTATCAATTGTGGGGGAGGGGGGCTGGGTTTTATTATATGAAAAAGAGGAAATAATGTATATTCCTATTTGCTTTTAATTTATATAAACTTTGAAGGACGCCCCAAAGGTAATGGTAAATCATAAAGTATGCTTAAGGGCCTCTCCAGTGGCACAGGATTTGTTAAAAGTCTCAGCACTATCAGTCAGCCACTGCAACATGAATCTGATCCCTTGCCAGGACGGTGACCCACATGGCACAGATGACCTCTCCTGTCTCACCCACTGCTCCCTACAGTTTCCTATGTATCACTTTTATTTCTGAACCACAGTCAAAATGATTATAAATGCAGTATAAGCCAGGTCTTATCATTCCTTTGGTCAGAAACAGTTGCTTCACTAAAATATTGCTCTTTCCATACAATACTCCTAAGCCCGTTTTATGCCTTCAGTGCTATTCCTAAATATGACAAGTAAATTCCCGCACCAGACCCTTGCATTAGCTAGTCCCTCCACCTGGAGCGCTCCTCTTTCTCCAAACTCCTGTGTGCACCATCCCCTCACTTCCTTGAAATCTGCTGAAAGTCACTTATTAGGAGACCTTCCAGACCACCCCACAGAAAACAGTACCCTCTATTCCCACTCTACTTTTCTATGTAAGATTACCCTTCGTGTATATTTTTGTTCATTGCCTCTACAGGGACTCTAGCTGGTCTACCGTATTCTCTGCATCTTGAACAATGTCAGGCACATACAGTATTTGCTAAGTATTAATTGAATGAATATGCTTCTTAAACAACCCTAGTAAAAAGATACCACTATTGCCTTTATTCTACAGATAAGGAAGCTGAGGTAGAAAAGCTAAAAAGCAGAGGCAAGATTAAATTATGAAGTATTGAGTGTTCGCTGAGCTCTTTCAAATTCTGAGAAGCAGGGAAGAGAATTCAGAGGATACTTAAAGTACCTAAAGCTGTTTACAGAAAAATGTAATTTAATAAAAAGCTCACTAGCAGTCCTCAAAGAAATGGAACAAATATTCCTGAGATTCATATGGAAGCACAAAAGATACCAAATAACCAAAGCTGTCCTCAGTAAACTACCTCTAGACTTCAAACTATACTGTGAAGCCATAATTAAAATAGCATGGTAACAAATCAAAAACAAGACACACAGGCCGATTGAACAGAATTGAAGATGGTGGCCTAGGGGTTAAGTCTCAGCACACTCATCACAGTTAAGGCCTAAGTTCATTGCCCAGCCAGGGAGCTGACCCACATACAGTGTAACAACTCCTGTCTGCCTGCTGCTTCCTGTAGCTGTGTACTTTACTAAATCTGCCTCTTCTGCTCCCCACTGTCCCTGGTGAACCCTCTCATACCTCCACACCTCTGTACTACACTCCAGTTTTTGTATGCATAAATATTTTTTTAAAAATAAGCTAACACCTTATACTAGTGACTGGCAAGGGTGTAGAACAAAAGGAATACCATCACACTGTTGGTGGAAATATAGACTGGCCCAACCCCAATGGAAAGCAGTGTGACTGTTCCTCAAAAGACCAGAACTGGATCTGCCAAACCACCTGGCAATTCCATTCCTAACTAATCAAAGAATACGAAAATTCAAAAGAAAAACTGCACTTTACAATAGTGGACATGTGGAAACAACCTAAATGTTCAAGAGCACCAGTGGACTAAGGAAATGTGGTATGCACACACTATGGAATACTACTCAGATATCAAAGAAGATAGAAAACTCATGCTATTTGTGGCAATATGGATGGAGGTGGAAGGGATTACACTAAGTGAAATAAGCCAGGAGAAAGAAATAAAACAGATGGTGTAACATGTGGAATATAAAGAAACCAAACAAAGGGTCAGGCAAAAACACTTTAAAACCAACCCCTGAAAGCTGTCCATAAATCCAAGGCATCCATGAAAAGGGGGATTAAAAAGAGTCTGAAAAGGGTAAAAAGAAGGCGAGCACAATGGGCTGTGGTAGACTTTGGGTACTTTGCTGGTGGAACCTATGTGACCACATTTGAGGGGAGAAATCCTATGCAAAACATAAACAGTACTTTATTAGTAAGTAAAACAAAATAACAGCATTTACCTGCATATGTATGTGGGAAAGACGGGAAGCAGGTGGGAAAGGAGCATTCCTTGTCTGCCTTTTTTAATGTCTTGAAAGTTGAACTTTTTTGAATATTCACAAATATTCAAAAATAAATATCAACAGCCCAAGATGTCCTTCAACAAGTGAATAAATCTGGGCACATACCACAGAACAAAACTGAGCAGTAAAAAGGAGTAAACTATTGAACTATTGGTATGTACAACTTGCATGACCTCCAGAGAACGATGTGGAATGAAAAAAAAGCTAAAAAGAACCAAAAAGTTACACATGTAGGTTTTCCATGTATGTTATCAGTCTTGAAATGAAATGACATGGAGAACAGATTAGAATTTGTCAGGGGTTAAGGAGAGATTGGGATTGGAAGGGAAGTGGATAGGGCTACAAAAGGGTATATGAGATCCTTACAATGAAGAAAATGTTCTGTATCTTATCACTATCTTGGCTGTGATACTGTACTTAGTGTATTGGGGAAAACTGTAAGGCAACTGTTTAAAATTTCATGTGAGTCTGTAATCTCAAAAGGTTTAACATTAAAAAAAAAAAATCCAGGTTAAGAACATCTAACCAGTGCTATTAACCAATCCATTACGTGGTTCCTACATGAGTAGGCAAGAAATGAGGCATGTGAATACCTGGGAAAAAATCTGTTCCAAGTATGGAAACCAGCAATTGAGAAAGAATTCATTGGGGAACAAAATTACTGGGTTGGCTGTTGGTGGGAATGCGAACTAGTCCAAATACTACAGAAAGCTGTGTGGAGGACCCTCAAATTACTGAAAATGGAGCTACTGTATGACCTAATTCTACTAGGAATTTACCCGAAAGACACAAAAACATTAATTTGAAAGGAAATTGCACTTCTATCTTCACTGCAGCACTATTTATAATAGCTAAGATATAAAAACAAATGCTGAAAAACAGATGACAGAATCAAGATGTGGTATTTATATGTGTAATAGAAGACTACGTAACAATCAAAAGAGAGAGAAACTCATGCCACTTGCAGCAACATAGAGCTGTAAGGGATTATGTTCTTTGAAATAAGAAGGAAACAGAAAAGGATAGTCTCACATATAAGGAATATAGGGAAACCAAACAAGAGGTCAGAGGAAAAAAAGACAAAACTAATATGCAAATGATAAGTCTGAGATCTACAGTGAGAGGAGGAAGGAGAAAAATGAGAGGAAGATGGAATCATTAAAATTCAACTTATGGGGCCCTCCTTGGTGTTACAATGGGTTAGAGTGCAGCACTGCAAGCTAGCCACAGCCACTTCAGTGTGAGTTCAATCCCCCACCCAAAAGGTGAACCACATGGTACAGCAGACCTCTCCTGGCCCACCAACTGCTCCCCTCAATAGTGTATTTCAGTGGATCTGCCTGTTCTGCTCCCCACTCTGTCTCTAGTGAATCCTCACTGCCCCTATACCTCTTGCCTGTACCCCAGTTCTGTATGCATAAAGAAAGAAAGCTTTAAAAAAAAAATTCAGCTTATACATAACAAACAATGAGAGAAAGTCAAATGCTGGTATTGACCCAACTCAGTCCTGTATTTCCCAGGCTAGGGAAAAAAAATAAGATTACAGATAATATAATGCTTTAAAAATAGTAAAAAGTACCCCAAAATCCATGCTATAATTTAGTGTTATAATTCAGAGTTCTTTTTAACACACACACTAACCTCTTTTTTGTCTTTAAACTTATCGATTTCTTTCTTCAGAAGCTCCACTCTTTGAAAGGATTCAAGGTTATTCACACTGTACACAAGAACAAAGCCATCAGCAAATGAAAAATAATGCTTTGGCAGCTCCACGCCTTCTTTCAGGCCTCTGGTGTCATAAAGATGTAACTGTTCTTTTACTCCCCGATCTGTTTCCACTGAAGCCATATATACATCTTCCATTGTTTCACAATCTTCCATTCCTGAGATTTAAAAAAAATCACTCCTTTGAAAAACTCAGAACCAACTGTTGAGTATTTTCTCGTCCCTATTCAGTGTATGTAAAACTCACACTTGGGTGAGACTCCACCAGTCCTCGCCCAAGGAAATTCCATCAGGAAAAGTGTCAAGAGTGGCCAGAAACCTGGTGAACTTCCACGAGAACCTCCCAGCCCCTGTAAACACAAGCAGAAGTCTCCTGAACTTATATAAAACCCTGTCAGTCCCCACCCAGTCCTGCCAAATGCCTCAAGACTTACTAGGAGAGCCTGCCAATACCCATCCAGACCACTGAAACTCCAGGACCATGTCAAGGGAGGAAGTCAGAGTGGCCATAGGCCTCATGAAACCCCACCAATACCAACCCAGACCAGAAGAGGCCTTGCAACTCAATATGCCTGAATCCACAAAGTCCTTGTGAAATCCATGGAATCCCCCATCAGCACAGGCTGGTGAGACCCTGGACTGGCAGCAGAGAGGCAGCATGCCAGAGGCTTCATGACCACCCAGGAGGCCGTCAGCCCCTCACCCAAATAGATGAGAACACTGACCAGGGAGGTGGGAGGAGCCACACCCAAAGGAAACCCCACAGAGCTATTGGGTTCCAAAGCTAATAAAATCAGAAGGAAAAACTTAACAAACAGTAACATGAGTCCCCAATCAAAGAAGAGAGAAAAGTCGTCCATTCATAGACATGGAAGCTATGCTCTCCCCATTAGAGACAGAGTTTAGAATGGCAATGATAAAGAAATTGAAGAAAACTCAGAAAAACAAATGTTGTTAGAAATGAACTCATAAATATAAGATAAAAATGGATTTCATGATTTCAAAAGAGAAATACAAGAGATGAAAAACTCAAGAGAAAATTGTGGAAGTAGAATTGATGAAGTTAAACAACCAGTTAATAGACTTGAAAATGCAAATGTCGAACAAAATAGAAGATACAAACAAATGGTAAAATATTCCCCACTCATGGGTTGAAGAATCAACATTTTCAAAATGGTCATTCTACCCAAAGCAATATACAGATCCAATGCAATACCAATAAAAATGCCAATGACCTATTTCAAAGAACTGAAGCATATAATATAGAAATTCATATGGAAGCACAAATACCCTGAATAACAAAAGCTAGATTGCCAAAGAAAGAGGATGGAGGTATCATACTTCCAAACTATTATATATAAAGCCAAAATAATTAAAACAGCCTAGTACTGGAAAAAATAGACCAATGGAATAGCTGAAAACACAAAAATGAACCCACATTATTTATGGATAATTAATCTATGACAAAGGAATAAAAAAAAACATACACTGGAACTAGGATGGCTCTTCAGTTGAGAAAACTGCATAGCTATATACAAAGAATGAAATGAAACCATGCTACATATACACCAACATCAACTCAAAATGGATGAAAGATTTGGATGTAAAACCTGAAACCATAAACTACAAAATACAGGGCCCTCCCTGGTGGCACAAAGGGTTAAAGCACAGCATATAAAGCTCTCAGCAGCCACTGTAGCACCAGTTCCATCCCATGCCAGGGAGGTGACCCACATGGCACAGCAGACCTCTCCTGACCCGCCCACTACTCCCCTCAGCAGTGTATTTCAGTAGATCTGCCTGTTCTGCTCCCCACTCTGTATCTGGTGAATCCTCTCACTCCCATACCTCTAGCCTGTACCCCA